ACTCCCCTCCCCTCCCCTCCCCTCCCTCTTCTCTCTCTTCCTTCCTTCTTTTCTTCTTCTTCTTTTTTTTTTTTTTTTTTTTAACTGGGTGTTGGCTTTGTCACCTAGGCTGGAGTGCAGGTGCAATCACTGTAGCCTCAAACTTCCAGGCTCAAGTGATCCTCCCACCTCAGTCTCCTGAGTAGCTGGGACTACAGGTGCATGCCACCATGCCCAGCTAATTTTTTGTAGAGACAAGGCCTCCCTATGTTGCCCAGGCTGGTCTCAAACTCCTGGCTTCAAGTGTCACCTGTCTTGGCCTCCCAAAGTGCTGGCATTACAGGCATGAGCCACTGTGCCCATCTTGTTCAGTACATATTTTCATTGTGAAAGAGCAATCAGATCATTGCACCCTTTTCCCCATTGAAGATGATAATTACCCTTTGTTATTACATTCACAGCTTCTTCAGAAAGTTATCTTCACAATTTTGAAAATATAGCATCAAGAGTTTGAGTTAAAAATAATTATTATTTATAAACGATAAGTAACATATAAGTCTAAAAATCTAGCTTCTGTAGTGTACTATTACCATTAAACATTTCTTTCAGTGTTTCTCCATGTTAATTTGGAAGAAGAAACTTGTACTCTGGTGTTAGCTGCCCTATAATAGAATTTGCATATTACTGGTTCAATATATAACACTGATGGTCCCCAACCTCAGTGGTTCAACTTATGATTTTTCAATTTATGATGTTATGAAAGTAATACACATTCAGTAGAAACTGTGCTTTCAGTGCCCATACAATCGTTCTTTCCCTTTCAGTACTGTATTCAGTAAACTATATGAGACATTCAACACTTCATTATAAAATAGGATTTATGCTCTCTTTTGTGTGTGTGCTGCTTTTTCAGACCTGGTCAACAGGAAGTATAAAGTAGGGTTTATATTAGATGATTTTTTTTTCCAAATGTAAGCTAATGTAAGTGTCTTAAGCATATTTAAGGTAGGCTATGCTAAGCTGTAAGGTTGGGTAGGTTAGGTATATTAAATGCATTTTTGACTTAATGATATTTTCAACTTACAGTGGGCCAAGCAGGATGTAACCCTATTGTAAGTCGAGGCACATTTGTACTTCCCTTTTGGAAATAATAATCTTTGACATTATTTTCAAGGTTAGACATTTGTGTCGAGATCAACGATAATTTTTTAAAACTTAACTCTGGCATAAATAGAATTCATGACTTTAATTGTACTAGGTATAGAAGAAAAAGTATTTTTATAAATAGAATAATTATTTTTATTGAGCATATATTATGTGCCTAAGACATATTATACCTTCTAGTGTTTATAGCAGTCTTACTAAGTAAATATTGCTTTTATTTGCATATAAGAAAATGGAAACTCAGAGAGGGTAAATAACTTGCCCATGGTCATAAAATCAGCAAATCATGGAATTGAGATTAGAACTCAGGTTTTTCTGGCTTTCCAACCCCACCCTTTTTGTTCTTATGACACTGTTCTTGTATAAATATTGCTGATTTAAATTTTTCATTTGAGAATGTCAGGTATTTCATGGGAGCCAGCACATACAAGAATACATTTTAAAGAAGGACCTCTATAGAAATGTCAGACTGTATATACTTACTTCAGTTATCCAACATCATCAGTTAATGAAGTATTTTCCCTGCAGCTTTTTAAAGCAAGCATTTATGTAAAATTTTCCCTTTGATATATTAGAAGTATCCCTACCTTCTTAAAGTGTTCTGTAATTTATATAACACTTATTTTGGTTATCATCTTAGGCTTTTGCCCTGTGCTTTAATAAAGCAGTGGCCTCAGGATTTGTTAAATGTCTCTTAAGTCAGTTACTGCCTTGAAAAGTGGCCCATGATTAGTATATTTTTGTAGTTAGTGATTTGCTGCCAGCTGTCATTTCTCAAGGTCAGATTCTGACAGTTCCTTGCATCCTATTGTATACACTCATAAGCTTTGACCTGTGAGCCTAAAGGTATCTCTACACCCTCCTGGAGAAAGATATAGTACTTTGATTCACTGACATTACATTCCTATTCTCTCTCTCTTTCTGTCTCTCTCTCTCTGAAATGACAAGTTAGCTAATTCTTCTGTGTGTTCCTTAAGGCAGTATCACACACTGGTAGTGCCAGTGGTTGTATGTTTAAAGGACCTACAGACTTACTTTTTATTTCTTTTAAATACGTATACTTCTCCTGTGATCGTAAATATTTGAATGTGATGCTGCTGTATACTGGCTGTGTATGTGTGAATACACCCAAGAAGACAAAAAGCAGCTGCAGTTATGCTCAGAAAGACTGTTGTTTCATTTACAGTGGTTTCTTTCCTTCAATGAGTCTGCTGCCCTTACTCAAAAATCTCCCTTTCTTCACTGTGGCAGCAGCTGGAGTCTTTGTTACTGCCACTCACAGCCATACCAAGTGATGAAAAACAGGTTTAAACTTAAAATACTTCTCTTTCCAACTTAGCTTGTACTCATTTGTAAATTCAAGTCTCTCCACCCAAATGACTGAATCAGTTCTGCTTTCTATTTTGTCTGTCAGTGCTTTACTGAAATTTTCACTTTTGTTTTAGCAGTAATAGTGTAGTGTGATTTGTAATCCACATTTCTCTATTAAGTCATTCTGCAGATTTAGATCCTTTGCTTGTCTCTACAACACAGAGCTCATCTGTGGTACCTGAGTGTTTATGGTATGTAATCATGCTTACAGTATATTTCAGCTTCACCATGGTTAATTTTTTTTCTTTTTTTAGACTCTCGCTCTGTTGCCCAGGCTAGAGTGCAGTGGTGCCATCTCAGCTCACTGCAACCTCCGCTTCATGGTTTCAAATGATTCTCCTGCCTCACCCTCCCAAGTAGCTGGGATTACAGGTGCCTGCCCCGTGCCCAGCTAATTTTTGTATTTTTAATAGAGATAGGGTTTCACCATCTTGGCCAGTCTGGTCTCAAACTCCTGACCTCGCGATCCACCCGCCTCAGCCTCCCAAAGTACTGGGATTACAGGCGTGAGCCACCGCGCCCGGTTGGCCATCTTAAAAAACACAGCAGTATTAATGTGAACTGAGAGCTTTTTATCCAACCGGAAACATGCTAATGGCAGATTCTAGGGACTCTCATAGAAGCAATATATTATTAGGTATGAAAATAACCCAAGCAGCTTATTATACTATGCAGAGGAATCTCTTAAAGAACAGTTTCATCTACTTTTTTCCATTAATAGGGACCTTATCCAAATTTTTATTTTTGGAGCTTACAATGTAAATATATAGTGTTAAGTTCTCCTGAATATACATGTAATACATATTCAGAAACAGGTGAATTGTAATGTCACAGCTTTGTCATGGTCGTTTGTAACTGGAATAATAATATGCAGATGACTCTTAATTCTTTACCTCTAATCCTCAATCCTCATTCTTCTCTAAAACCTCAGTTTTAAATCTTCAGCTGCCTACTGGGCAGTTAAATTGACAATTTCAACATCACCTCAGATCCAGTTATTTTTGTTGCTCCTTTTTTTTTTTAGAAAAGATCTCGCTGTGTCACCCAGGCTGGAGTGCAGTGATGTGATCATAGTTCACTGCACTATCTCCCAGGCTCAATAGATCTTCCTACCTCAGCCTCTCGAGTAGCTGGGACTACAGGCACATGCCACCATGCCTGGATTTTTTTTTTTTTTTTTTCGTAGAGACAGGGTCTCACTATGCTGCCTATGTTGGTCTCAAACTCCTGAGCTGAAGATATCCTCCCGCCTTGGCCTCCCAAAGTGCTGAGATTACAGGCATGAGCCACTGCACCAGCCTTTATTGCTCAATAAATGACATTTAATGAATACCTACCACGTGTTATGCATCATTCACTCGTTAAACTGACATTCATTAAGCACCTTTATGTGCCAAGTCCTTTGATAGGCATTGGGATGCAAGTGGTGAATAAGACTGAAGTGGTCCCTGCTTTCGTGGAGTTTACTGTCTACTGCGCAGGGCTGCTAATTGAATAAATACTTCAGGATTGAAGTATTCATTATACTTCATATAATATCTATATTATATACATTATATATAATATTAAATACATATACTTCTCATATAATTATATATTATATAATATAAGTATTATAAATACTAACATAATGATAAGGAACATAACGGGACTCTTCAGATGGAGGGCAAGGGTACCTAGCCCTGTCTCATGTGTCACAGAAGGCCTCCCTGACTGAAGTCATTTTTAAGCCAAGAATTGAAGGATATGAAGGAGTTAGATGAATGGGGACAAACTATTTTTTTCTCTCTCTGCCTTAGTTTCCTCATTTGTAGAGATACAAAGAGAAAACAAATAAATAAATTCCTTAATGCATGTGAAGGTACTTAGAACAGTACCTGGCTCTGAGTGTGGCTGCTGTCTTCATCCTCTTTATTGTCATTAATCACTCATTCAGGTTTTCAAATAAACATCTATTGAGCACTTACAAAGTACTAGGCATTTTTCAGTATTGTGGTGGGATTCAGAAATGAAAATCATAAAAATCTATCCTTCCAAGGAGATGTGTGTACAAATAGCTACAAAACAGAGAGTAATACAGCAAGAACCGTAAGGGAAGTATGAGCCAATTTCTGGACAGGAGCATTCCTTTTTATTTGGGAGTGGGTATGATTTGTGCCACTTACTTGGCAAGTGCTTGTAAACTGCCTGTGAAATCTTATTTGTTCTTGTATTCTTATTTACTTTGTGAGATTTTGCCTGTGTATATCTTTACTTGCCACTGAAATTTTTCACGTTTGAAGTGAGGAAGTATGTATCTCACAGACTGAGGTATATGAATAGTAGGTGGACTGTATGCTGATGAGTAGTCTTAAAAGCCTATTAAACTTTTTTGGGTTACTTATTTTAAAAGCCTTGTAACTGCTTAAGACCTTTATTATAATAGTGTCACATGCTTTAGAGGGACTCAATGTAGAAGAAGAAATAGATGTTACCTCCTCTAAAATAAAAAAAAGTTGGCACCGGGAGCGCGCTCGGAGGCGAGTGGAACTGGATCGGGTTTGCTGCCAGCGGCGTGAGCTTCGGCCGCCATTTTACAACAGCTCCACTCGCGCCGGACACAGGGAGCAGCGAGCACGCGTTTCCCGCAACCCGATACCATCGGACAGGATTCCTCCGCCTCAGCCCAACGGGGAGATCTCTGGAAACATGGCTACAGAACATGTTAATGGAAATGGTACTGAAGAGCCCATGGATACTACTTCTGCAGTTATCCATTCAGAAAATTTTCAGACATTGCTTGATGCTGGTTTACCACAGAAAGTTGCTGAAAAACTAGATGAAATTTACGTTGCAGGGCTAGTTGCACATAGTGATTTAGATGAAAGAGCTATTGAAGCTTTAAAAGAATTCAATGAAGACGGTGCATTGGCAGTTCTTCAACAGTTTAAAGACAGTGATCTCTCTCATGTTCAGAACAAAAGTGCCTTTTTATGTGGAGTCATGAAGACTTATAGGCAGAGAGAAAAACAAGGGACCAAAGTAGCAGACTCTAGTAAAGGACCAGATGAGGCAAAAATTAAGGCACTCTTGGAAAGAACAGGCTACATACTTGATGTGACCACTGGACAGAGGAAGTATGGGGGACCACCTCCAGATTCCGTTTATTCAGGTCAGCAGCCTTCTGTTGGCACTGAGATATTTGTGGGAAAGATCCCAAGAGATCTGAGGATGAACTTGTTCCTTTATTTGAGAAAGCTGGACTTATATGGGATCTTCGCCTAATGATGGATCCACTCACTGGTCTCAATAGAGGTTATGCGTTTGTCACTTTCTGTACAAAAGAAGCAGCTCAGGAGGCTGTTAAACTGTATAATAATCATGAAACTCGTTCTGGAAAACACATTGGTGTCTGCATCTCGGTTGCCAACAATAGGCCTTTTGTGGGCTCTATTCCTAAGAGTAAAACCAAGGAACAGATTCTTGAAGAATTTAGCAAAGTAACAGAGGGTCTTACAGACGTCATTTTATACCACCAACCGGATGACAAGAAAAAAAAACAGAGGCTTTTGCTTTCTTGAATATGAAGATCACAAAACAGCTGCCCAGGCAAGGCGTAGGTTAATGAGTGGTAAAGTCAAGGTCTGGGGGAATGTTGGAACTGTTGAATGGGCTGATCCTATAGAAGATCCTGATCCTGAGGTTATGGCAAAGGTAAAAGTGCTGTTTGTACGCAACCTTGCCAATACTGTAACAGAAGAGATTTTAGAAAAGGCATTTAGTCAGTTTGGGAAACTGGAACGAGTGAAGAAGTTAAAAGATTATGCATTCATTCATTTTGATGAACGAGATGGTGCTGTCAAGGCTATGGAAGAAATGAATGGCAAAGACTTGGAGGGAGAAAATATTGAAATTGTTTTTGCCAAGCCACCAGATCAGAAAAGGAAAGAAAGAAAAGCTCAGAGGCAAGCAGCAAAAAATCAAATGTATGACGATTACTACTATTATGGTCCACCTCATATGCCCCCTCCAACAAGAGGTCGAGGGCGTGGAGGTAGAGGTGGTTATGGATATCCTCCAGATTATTATGGATATGAAGATTATGATGATTATTATGGCTATGATTACCATAACTATCGTGGTGGATATGAAGATCCATACTATGGTTATGAAGATTTTCAAGTTGGAGCTAGAGGAAGGGGTGGTAGAGGAGCAAGGGGTGCTGCTCCATCCAGAGGTCGTGGGGCTGCTCCTCCCCGCGGTAGAGCCGGTTATTCAGAGAGGAGGTCCTGGATCAGCAAGAGGCGTTCGAGGTGCGAGAGGAGGTGCCCAACAACAAAGAGGCCGCGGGCAGGGAAAAGGGGTCGAGGCCGGTCCTGACCTGTTACAATGAAGACTGACTTGCTATGTGGGATTACGCCAGAAGCTTGCAGTGGAGTAATGGTAAGGAAATCAAGCAACCTTAAATATCTCGGTTGTATAGGAGCATATTCTATTGCAGAAGACCTTCCTATGAAGATCATGGAATCAAATACGGGACATTGAACTAATACTTGGACTTTGATATGAATTTCTTTAACAATTTTCTCTGCAGTGCAAGTTATTAAACTAAAGCTACTCTATTTTCAAAATGTGTTCCAACAGAAATCCTTCATAACTCCTAGCATGGTATCTTAATAAAGAATAAAGTTCTTTTAAAAATCTGCTCTAAGTAGATTTTTCCCCTTTTTTAAATTAAGGATCCCAACAGTGGTATTTTGAAATATTCTCTTGAATTTGTGCATTTAAATTTTATTGCAGTGGTATAGATGAATGCCACTGATGGTATCCTTAAATTTTATTTCTGCTCACCAAGGTTAATCATGATTGTCTATATCTTTTTTATAGTAATCACTTTTGAATTGTGTTCAGATATGCAGTTTCAGGTGTAATCATCAGAGCTGGTTAGTCAGGCATTCCAGATAGTGGTTCTTTTCAGAACCTTTTTAAAAGGGTTGGTTAACTACCTCAGTAGCAGAGGATTGAACTATACCCTGTCTGTACTGTACATAGAAAATCTTTGTAGATAAAAGCAAGGCTTGTTAAATATGATATGAAGGGTAAGATTTTAATATACCAAATGTAACATTCTTAGTTGCCTTTAGTTTCAGAGGCTTGTAAGACTTCCTCATGACCATCATAACAGGCCTTGCTTTTGTCGTATTTTGTGGCTGAAAAAGCAGCCTTGCTTCTTCAGATATTGTAGTTATTTGGATGTATAATAGTTTAGCAAGATGTTACTTTTGTAAGACATCAGATGTTCAAAAAAGTGCATCCGAACTTGTACTAAATACTGCAGTGTCCCTTTATAAAAAGTCAGACTAAAACTGACAATTGTACAGCGAAGCCTGACATTTGGATATTTTGAAGTTTTTTCATAAATCATAGAAATTAGTATATGGCTGTAGTTTAGCTTTTTAGGTAAAAGGTATGTTTCATTAGTGCATTTCTTACTGCTGATCACAGTAAACATGTGAATCAGCTTTCCATTTCTTATGCAGGTCATGATAACTTGTAGAGTAGAGTACAATCATTTGTGCTATGTTTTTAATTTTCTAAAGCACCTTGACAGTGAGTGTTCAGTGGTGAAGCATCCTCTATTCACCCTCAAAAATTTTTTTGCCAAGTCCTGAGTTGATAGCTTAAATTAAAAAGTGAAAATTATAGTTTCATTAGGACTTGGTGTAAAGAAATCCCCTCTCCCCTTCCCCAAAGGGATACTGCAGTTATATCACATACCCAATAGGCACCACGATGAAGATCAGAGCTTATACTTAATTAAGGTTTTATACACACCAGTTCCCCAGTAAATGCAAATTTAACAAGAAAATTAGACATGTCATATGTTCAAAATGCTCATGGCAAACAATCATTTTGCATTCCTGCAAATAAAATTGTTTTATACTGTAAGCTGGAGGCGAGTGTAACTTATTTTTGTAATAAAGTTTTTATTTTTTTTATGTGTCATTAAAAAAAAAAATTATTCATGGATGCATCATCTGTTGATTCTACCAAATGTCTGTTCTAATATTTGCTGTAGTAAAGTTACATCTTTGACATCATTTTTGAAATGTATTACCATATTTAACTGAAAAAAATAGAGTAACAGTCAAAATTGGTAATAATTTAAAATTTTGTTTAACATTACCAAAAGTTATATAATTCAGTTTGGCTGATACAAAATATGAGGCTTAGCAGACAGTTACATATTTGAACAAATTGAAGTTTTCAAATGTTGCTTACATTTCCCTCTTGAGAGAAAAGTTATTGTGTAGTAAATAACATACTGCAGTTTTTAAGGAAAGTGTATATTTAAAACATCTGTAAAGATAGTAAAGTTTAACTGTTTAACTGGTAGGAGACCAGAGTTAACATCTCACTTTTTGTAGCCAATAATATTCTAGCTCTGATTTACTAAAATAAAATAAAAATAATGGATATTTTATTTTCTATAATCTTTTGTTTTATGTCTTAATGTGGTACATTCATGATTAAGAAGCCAACTTTGTTTTGATCTAAACTTTAAAGCATATAACTATTCTTTCTAATAAACATGTTTTCTTTACAATTAAGTAGAACATTGAACTTATCACAACAAAGATACCCTCTGTCTTAGAGATAATAGATCATCCATAAAAGCTGATTAATGGATTTCTTAGTTAAGAGTAGACTTCAGAAATGCCATGGTAATAGGTCTTTGCAGTGGCTTTTAATCTCTTAAAACATGAGGCTTGCATGGGATGAGGCATGAATTAATTTTCCAGCTTTTGATGGAATTGAATTCTAAAACCATCCACATACATATGACAATCACGTCTAAAAAGTAATTAGCTTGCTATAAATACAAGAGATTTCCTGTGAGAAAACTGCTCATGCTATCTAACCAGTAGAGAAATTTGGCAGATTAGAGAAAAAGTATGTCTTATCTGAAAGAATAGAACTCTTCAGTTTTTTAGTTTGTTTTGGCTCATGTGCTTTTTTGCTTAGATTCCATTGTGAGTGAGGTGGCAGGCTGGTTTGACACAGGTTTATGTCCAAAATCTTCATGGAAATTTTTTAATGAACCTATTAAAATGCACAAGGGTGATTTGTCATCCAACTGAAAAGCAGTCTAATCCTTAGGACAAACTTTAGAACTAGAAAACCCTGGTGGGGTTCTCATTCAACTCAGTAGTAGTTGGTATGCCTTGGCTTTTTGTCCATAATGGGAATGGCAATATGCACTTCTTAGAATTACTTTAGGAATTGTATGGAGTTGTGTGGATAAAGCACCTAGCACAATACCAGCCTCATAAAAGTCATTTTTTAAAATAATATTTCTTCACCACAATCATCCCTCTCCCCTAAAGCAGTTACAAACCATTGCAGATGGGGCCTTTTTTATCATCTTGGGATCCAGATCATTAGGATTCTCAGATGCACTTTCTTTTTACATGTTTCGTTCACATGAGAAATTATGACATGCCACAAGAAACCGAGCAAGCAAATAACTAAAACCACAGGGTATTCCTTTGAATATTTGTTTCAGGGACTCTGGCTCTCTGGAATTTGGTATACATTTCCAGAAAGCGTAAGTTGTGTGGGGGCACTGCTCAGGAGTTACATCTGTGACATAGATCTCTAACTCAAGACATTTTGAGCTCCAAGCACTCTGTTTCAAAGCCATGTTTTACTTCATAAGTAACCTCATGGAATAGCCAGCCTTTTCCAATTCAGTCTGAATTGGAACAACAGAATGAAAATAAACCGAATAGTTTATTATTTTTCTTCATTTACTACCATTAATAGTTTTATGCTAAAGAATATATTGAATAAGAGTGAACTGAATGGCATTTATTTCTTTAGTTCTATTTTCTTGTTTAGTTGAAGGAGAGGGAATGGAAGAAAATTCTTCTGTTTATGTGATGTATTATCATACTTTTCTACAGAAATTGGGTGCAGAATAACTCCAGGAAATTAACAGGAAAGCAAACTAACCAAGTTGAGTGCCCCCATGTCTACCAAATGGTTTGTATGTGTTAACTCATTCAGTCCCAGCAGCCACCATCTGGCAGATTCTGAGCACTGTGCTTCAGGTTACCTTGCTTAAAAATTGAATAACATAAGGATTGTGAAGTATGGAGCCCAATGCGCATTTATCAAAAACATCTGATTCAAGATTTTAACCTAGTTCCACCTTTTTCAGAGTTCTTGATACTCTCTTGTAGTATTCTTTTCTAAATTTCGTCAGTAATGTAGCAAGATGAGGAAGATACTAGATAGAATTGTCCTTAAACTGCATGCTATGTAGTTATCTGTGAAGAAGCAAAAGGGAAGCAGTGTGGTATGTTGAAAGGAACTCAGGATTGGGTGTTATATTTGGGGTTCTTGTCTTTGTCTTTAAAAAAAAGTTATGTTTTTGTTTTTTATAATTAATAATGTGGTTTTTCATTAAATCATGTGTAGAATCCTTTCTAGTTTTTTTTCCCACTTAAACCAAAGCCATAATACCGTCATTAATGATTATTTGAACTTAAAGATCTATAAAAGGAAGGTGAAATATTTAAAACCAAATAAAATTATTGCTTTGAAAATACTATTCAGATTATATGGATAAGAGCTTTGGAGTAAGAGGAAGGAAGTTTGAAACCTTCCATGACTAGTTGCCTGAGTTATGCAAACACTATCTGTGACCTCCTGGTAATATATATCTGCTCATTTTTATAGGTTTGATCTAGTTTACCACAGGGGTGATATATTAGCAAAAATAAATTGGAATTACTCTAAAACAGCCTTCCTTATAACACAGAATTCAGAATAAGTTAAATCTGCAGGAGGGTATAACCAAACTGATTTTGCTAAAGGAACTGCATCAAATCCAAGTTACTCAACAAATATATGTAACAGAGAGAGCTTTCAAATGAAGTTCCAAGGGTGAACCTTCCTGCTCATTCAACAGGGAGGTGCTGGAGATATTCTTAATGGTAGAAGAATCGTAGTCGGTTTCTTTCTGATATAAATGCACTCCCAGGTGGTGTAAGGGAGGTTCTGTTGATTCATCAGAATATGACTGCACAATAGTAGGAGCTGAAGAAATATTTGTTGTATAAATGACCTATATCTCTTAAAAAGGAGTATATGCCCCTTTTCTGTACCAAGAAGGCTGAGAACCCTCCATGACTAGCAAACACTATCTGTGATCTCATGGTAACATATATCTGCTCACTTTTACAAGTTTGATCTAGTTTACCATAGGAGTAATATATTAATTAGCAAAAATGAATTGTAATTACTCTAGAACAGCCTTCCGTATACCACAGAATTCAGAACAAGTTAAATCCACAGGAGACTACAACCAAACTGGCTTCCCTAAAAGAACTACATCCAACTCCAAAGTACTCACTAAATGTATGAATCTATGAGCATTTTCAGATACCAGAGTTAAATATTAGAAACCATGAGTTGTAAATCTACAGATCTGGAAATTAAGAATAGTCACATACATACAAATGATGAAATTAAGTATATGTTGGGCAATGTGATATAGAGGAGAGACTGCAGGACGATAATCAAGAATGCCAGATTCTGTTCCTGAGTCTGTCATTTTTTGACTGTATGGGCATTTGTATATATGTGCATTGAGGGACTGGGATTTGCTCATCTTTCTAGGACTGGAAGGTTAAAAGATGAAAGATTAGTTTTCTTTTCCTATCCACTCCTCAATTGGAAGCCTTGATTTATTCCTCTATGTAAATTTTAACAGTTCTTGTAACCAAATATCAGCTACATGCTTTCTAAAATCTCTGGATTTTGTGTTTTCAAATATGTCTGAACACACACAAACATCACATATACATGTTTATGGTATACATAATACATATACTTGCAAGCATACATATATAAACACACACACAACCCAAACACAGAAAACAATACAAAGGAATGATTGCTTCTGTGTTTATTTTTGCCCTGTTATTTTATCTAGACATTTTATACTTTTCTGAGTAAATAGAAAGGATGGAAAAATGAGTGAGCCTAGCAAACCACTACTCAAATGTAACCTCAGTTCTCCATCCACAATTATTAGCTCTATCAGGATTTTTTCTCATCCCTCAAGAGTCTTTCCTCCAAAATTCGGTATCCCATTGGAGCAACATAACTCTCTCTGTTAAAGAAGATAAGAACTATTAATAATAACAATAATGTATAATACTTCATTTTAACCTTGCTCTGATTTTCTTTTTCTTTTTTTTTTTTTTTTTAAGTTCTAGGGTACATGTGCACAACGTGCAGGCTTGTTACATATGTATACATGTGCCATGTTGGTGTGCTGCACCCATTAACTCATCATTTACATTAGGTGTATCTCCTAATGCTATCCCTTCCCCCTCCCCCCACCCCATAACAGACCCTAGTGTGTGATGTTCCACTTCCTGTGTCCAAGTGTTCTCATTGTTCAGTTCCCACCTATGAGTGAGAACATGTGGTGTTTGGATTTCTGTTCTTGAGATAGTTTGCTGAGAATGATGGTTTCCAGCTGCATCCATGTCCCTACAAAGGACATGAACTCATTCTTTTTTACGGCTGCATAGTATTCCATGGTGTATATGTGCCACATTTTCTTAACCCAGTCTGTCATTGATGGACATTTGGGTTGGTTCCAAGTCTTTGCTCTTGTGAATAATGCTGCAATAAACATACATGTGTATGTGTCTTTATAGTTGCATGACTTATAATCCTTTGGGTATATACCCAGTAATGGGATGGCTGGGTCAAATGGCATTTTTAGTTCTAGATCCTTGAGGAATCACCACACTGTCGTCCACAATGGTTGAACTAGTTAACAGTCCCACCAACAGTGTAAAAGTGTTCCTGTTTCTCCACATCCTCTCCAGCACCTGTTTCCTGACTTTTTAATGATCGCCATTCTA